TATTGAAGTAATCAACTGATTGAAATTTCACCACAGAACAAGCGCTCTAGACGCAGCACATTGTGAATTCGCCAGTACATCAAGCAGTTTTGAGAAGTCCTGCGAAGCATTTTCGCCCTGCCGATTCTCCAACTTTCTTTTATGTTGTACGGCTTTGACTGCTGTGGGCGAAGAAATGACTGTGACCCGATGAAAGAGGAGTTATTCTTCAAATTTTGAGGACTGCAGACTCATGGATGGGTGATCCTACTTATTTGCGTAAATATCCTAGAAGTAGGTAATCGGTGGAGGCGAGCAGCCTTAAAATCAGAAATATAAGCTAGCAAAGGAAAAAATAGGTGCGATCTCAGCAGTTCGTCAGATCCTCACTTGCTCACCAGTTATTCTGCCCTCCTCGCCCATTTCTGTCTTACCACAATAGCAAAGTTGCTGAAATCCTGCTGCTAAAACCGTGGCAACTTCATTGTCGTAACAAGCCTAAATATGAGCGAGCAAGAAAGGATTTGTAGCAGAGAACTGCAATAAATTTTCGCTGGTTAGCCTGCAGGTCTGGCGTTTGAGCTGCTCATTTCCTCAGAGTGGGTACTATTTTACTTAATTGTAATAATGAAATAAAGAGTTGTCGTTTAGGATTTCGAAAGTCTTGGATGTTCTGCTAGCCCGGACTGTTATAGTCGTAGTATAGTATCAGTACACGTCGGACGATGGGGATCGTACTTGGTCGCTGGAGGGAGGGAGTCGTATTAGGTTTAAAGAAGAATGTTTTCGGTTGTTGCCTTTTTTCGGTATTCTTGTTTCAAGTGCGCTGTACCCCCGCCCCCACCCCCTCCCTCTCGATAGCTTTATTATAAAAGTGGAGAGATTATAGAAAAAAAAATGAGAAAAAGTGATAGGAAGTTGGGAAGGTACGGGGAGATGATCGGTAGGATGGGGTGGGGAAGGGAGGCACCAGACGGGAAGATTTGGAGGTGGGGGTGGCCATATGTCGTTTTTGCACAAATTTTCCCCAGTGGCAGGGCATGTACTGTATACCATACGAAATGGAATGGTACCATTTCGTAGCTCCACAGGAGCTTATAGGTCTTTACAAAAAGGCTAAACATTAGTGAGGCTTATTTCAACGTTTGTTTAATAACATGCTATCCCTTAAAGGCAGTTTGCACGATAATTTGGTACTCGGTCTAAAATGCAAGCAGAGTGCAGTACATATAGTGGGAAAATTGCGAAAAAAAACTAAGTGAAAACGGTCAAAAACCTGCAAAGGAAAGCCTTCACTCTTCATGACTCAGGAAGCACGTTCGGACGAGTTTCCACGTAGGCATGGTGCCAATAAACCGCTACGGTAGATACATGTGCACGTATGTACTCACAGATACAATCGCAGCCGAAGTGGGCTCATATCAATCTCCTTCAACTTCATATTTTACTCCACAAAGGAAGCAATACGAGCATCAGGTATGGTCGTCCATTTGTGGGCGGGCGAGTGCGGTGGGCGTCCGGATCGGTATGTTGCAGATTCATAGGGCCTTATAAGGGCACCTCCCCGCTAACACAGATGGTGCTCAGGGGTGGGCGGAATTCGTTCGCCAGCGTATTAATCCTATTCATCTTAGGGATTTATCGTGCCAACTGCCTTTAGCGCGCCTTCCTCTCACTGACCAATCTAGGGTGATCAGAAATGAGTTAAATCCCTTATTTCGCTACAAAAAGTCTCGATAGTAATCGATTAGCATCTCGCCTTGAGAATGGCGTTCGTCACAGAAATTGCTGGCATAGCCATTCCGTATTGCACCACTTTCATCAGAAACTGCAGCTTATCGCGAGAGATTATAGATCTGAAATTGAGTCAATTTGTCTCGCTCAATCTTCTGGAATCACTTTTAACGACCCACGCCTCAATTCCGGTAGCAGTGATGATCATGTAGAGATCAGCATAAGTTCTACAAAGAAGTGATACTGCCACCAATAGCATGTAGAACATCTGTAATAAAGCAGCTTTGATAGTATTCGATAGAACGTGTGCAGGGTGTGGTGTACCTCTGGCGCGAAGTGGCTAGGAACGATAATCTTCAGTATACGCCAGAGTTTCTTGATAAATGCTCCATCCACATGGGCTCTGTCCTTCGAAGAAGGCCGACCGCTTTTCGTTACGATGGCCCTTGATCGCGAGGCTCTGGATAAGAGTTGGGTAGACTCAAATTTGCGATGATGTCGCAAGACTAGAAGACACATTTAGCGATGGATACAGGGGAGGGGGCGGAAAAAGTCACTTTTCTTCCTTGACTTTCAGGGCGCTATAAGTTACACTCAATCAAATACTGATGGGACATTTTCCACCACCAATCTAATTCTTCCTCACGAGACGCATTGCTACACGTTGATCACAATACTCCCAGCCTTCTGGACGAGCCATCGAGAGATTCTGCCACGCGCCATTATTCGATGCCTGATTGTGAGATGCAGCAAGATCATTCATTCGTTCTGCCTGTTGAGTTTCCGCTCGTGACCCAGTAATCGAGGGGGGGTTTTAGGTAGGTGACACACTTAGAATACCCCTCTTCTTTGGCATTTACTCAGAGCGCCTTCGTAATTCCAGGTAGGCGAAATTCATGCACGCCCTTCTATTATTCTGGAGGAGGACGGGAGTGATTGTTAGAGCCTTTTCAGTCAGGCTGCGATTGGAGATGACTTCATATTTTGGAATGGGAGGCAGCCTGCTCCTGCTTATCGAGGAACATCTTGTGTATCTTCCGCCCTGGTACTCGCATCACTTCCTTTGTCTGGGCTGCGAAAACTTCGCTGATATGTGACTCGGCCGAAGTGACTTTTTTTGCCCCCCCCCTGTATGGATTGCTACATGCAGTTTAACTTTGTAAAGATTCGTATTCATTATTATTTGTATGTATATTTGTCTTCGCTAACAAAGTTGTCAAACGACTCACTTGGCCGCCTTGCTGTACCATTTGATGACAGCGAAAAACGCAGCAAGACCGCAGAGACCAGGTCCGTACTGCTTGAGGGTGAGCGTCGAAGCCAGCAGCCGCACCTGGTCGAATTTTGAAAGGGCCACCCTCAAGTTTTCTGAAGGTTCACATGAACGTGCTGAGATGATGAAGCAATAACGGAGAACATTTCGAGGAACAATTGAGAGATTCAGGTTGGACATTAAAAGGCGTCCAGCTTCATTTCGCCCCCCCCCTCTAGCAAAAAATAAAGAAAAAGGAAACGCTCAGTCATGAGGACGGTTAGGGGACAGTGCTATTCCCGGCTGAAAGACAGATTGAAACAGTTAAACGAGAACTGCTTGGAGACCGAACTGATTGGAAGAGACAAGCTACACCAGCCAGTGTTTCGTTCTCATATGAGGAAAATAAAGGATAAAAGATCAGAGTCTTCGCCGTTGTCAGACCTTTTCTGGAATGAGGCACGCATTCCACTTCCATTCAGAATCGCAGTGACTTATTGAATGCGATATGGCCTATACAATACTTGCGGGGGCCAGCCGATGTACAAGTCAGTGTTCTTATCCTCCCAGACGAATCTGGCTACCAATTTACCGTCCCCGGAGGGTAGAAGGCTTGGTAGGCCTAAGCTGGGGAGTCGACCCGAGATTCGAACCCGGACGGTGCGATGGATAGCGCGCGCACTAGTCGCACATCACTCCGCTCATTTTGAAAGTGCGGAAAAAGCGCAAGGCTCTATCTCTTGCAGCTATATTCTGCCCACATTCACCATTCTAATGTGATGAACCAAGCAGTGGTCTTGATGGCAGCTCCTTATGGTAACTTTTGTGCTTTTGAAGTTCAGGACTTTTATTGATAAGAGATTTTTCTACTTCTCCAAAAGTGTTGTGTGTCCCATGTCACGCACGCGTGTTACTGCTCCTGTGAGTGTATGTACTTGGAGAGCACTTCCAAGTATTATTGGGGTACGCCCATATAAACGCATTCCCCCGTAAGATTTCCCTGTGATGCTTGGGCACGTGGCGGCTTCCTCGAAAAAACAAGACCGTTAAGACAGACTGATATTGTGGATAAGTTAGTCTTTGTTACTCGTATCAGATCCACGTTTAAATCAATCTGCTTCACTTGATGGGAATCAAATGCATGGTGTAATCTGGAAGAACTGCCACTTTGACTACCTCCTACTCATTTCCTTCTATACCAGTTCGCCTCCTACAGATCGCTAAGATTTCAAGACAATTATGATCTCAAGTCATCGTTGACGTGGTTCATATATTAACTTGTAGGGTCAGTCAGCCCTGTGAAGAAGAAAACGAAAAAACCAAAAAACCGTCAATCGGGTCCTAGATAAGGCTCTCGTTTTCAAACTGAGTCCAGTATTGTACGAGGATTGCGGCGAAGAGACAGTCGAGATAACGGAGACAAAGGATCAGAGACAAAAAGAGAAGAGCTAGACGGCAGAAAAGTAAGACGACGCTTGTATCTCGCCAGTAAGTTGACGCTTATATCTCGCCAACACTGTATTAACTGATGCACAAGGCTTCTTTTCCAACTATGCGGCTCCTCTTCTGGTGTATTTGAATAAAATGAATAAAAAATAAATAATACTGAATGTAGGGTTACATGACGCTTCAGTCAGAAACGTTTGAGCCTTCAAGAGAGAGAAGCTCTACTTGCGAACACTAAACAAGAATACGAACAAGTACTAGAAAGGAGCTCTACTTGCGAGCCAGGAGGTGCCGTCAGAGAAATATGTCGAGTAGGTTCTCAGTCCTTGCCAAGTGCGGAGATGATGTTGAGCCCGCATTCTGCGGTAGGGTACCCTGTTGTTCGCTTTGAAACTCCAGGCAGGAACGGCGCCGCGGCCAGGAGGTCGGTGGCACTGCAGTGTCGTCCCGATTTCGAGCCTCCTACCACATCGGCCAATCTACACTCTTACCATACGCTCCGAACGAGCAATCTGCCGGAGTGCGCCTCTCACTATGGGTGTCTTCGTCCACAACCGAATGCATGTTCACTGCAAGATTTTGGTAAAAAATTCACGGTGAGGTTGCACCTTTGAACAATCGCGGAGGGGATTCGGGGAAATGTCACTTGTGCGAAGTTGACCGTCTTTGCTTCGCAGTTGCTCCTGCACAGCAAAGGACGTCTATCGGAATGTAGTAAAAAATTTGTTTGAGACGGCCTGCCAATAATAAAAAACAGTCAGTGCATTCAGTCCCCCGGGCACACCAAGCATTCACGATAATTTCAACAAAAGTGCAGGAATAACTGTTGGGTGGCCCGTAGGTGATAGGCTCTGTTGAATGCAAACATTTCTTTACAGGAAAGTGACAATTGTTCCCAATGTGTTCTACACTGCTTGATAGACAATTTTCTGCTCTATAATACACTACAATTGCCTGCTCATTATTTCTCGATTTCTGTCGATTTTTATTTCACTGAAAAGGAGTTTCCAGTCGACCTAAAAGTGAGTTTTCGACACCAATTTTTGCACTTTATCTCGGCTCTCAGATTACAGCAGAAGCTAAAAACTTGTGATTTATATATGAAACACGTAAAGGTCTTCTATGGCAGCTTGGATAGTTGGTTCAAGCCGATCAAGAAGGTGGGAAGTGCTGGACTTGTACAATGTGTATCCCATGGGGCCCTGTTGAGGACGACGCGCTTGTCGAACGCCAGCCCACTGAATTCGACCCTCCACCTATTAATTGAGGGTGAATGCTTTGATAATGGTGAGGGAGAGTCATCGTGGCCTCTACGATTCCCAATTTTGTGTCATTGACTCTCCGTGAATAAGGTATTTCACTTTAGCCTCTCAGTTGGACTCAATAAAAGCGTCAGGTTCGAGTGACTTTGTCTGTGAGGTGAAATGCAAATCTTCAAATAACTTATACCGTCGTAGCATCTTAAAGACAGCTCCCGCGATAAGTCTCATGGATAGCTGCTTTCCAATTATGAAACAGTAGCTGATAAGTAATCTCCCAAAGAAGAAAACAGGCAAGAAGCGTCCTCCAGAACAACATAAACAAAATCGCTCGCCACCTCCCTGTGGTCTTTGTGGGCAACCCGCTATAGGCTGCACAAGATCTCTCTATCACATCTCGCAGTAGTTGATATCATCCAGTGCAAAAAAAGAATACAAAAGAAAACAACAAAAACGCAGAGGAAAAACTCTTGGAAGGAAAAAGGAATTTTATCAACGCGGTGTCTGAATTTGGGATTACGGTAGCGCACGTTTTGTGCGTCGAGGTTTTGCATCACGAAAATTGCGTCACTCGTGCTTTTTACGCGTTTCACCTCGCGAAATGAGTTGAATTGAATGTATATACCTCCAATGAGTAAACTGTAATGAAGGACAGAATTATCCATGGGCATTAGCAATGCCCGCCGCCCCAACTAAGAACAACTGAGTGGCCTCCGTCGGAGGACATCTAGCAAGTAAGGCGGTCCAACTGAGCAGCGTTAGAACTAGAACTTACAGCGGCTGTAGCTCGCTTCTCGCTCGCTGTGCAGACGAATAGAGTGGGACAGTCTCTAGCTTGGGCTGTACTACTTGCACAAGGAAGACGGACTACAGGGGTGCACAAAAAAAAAAGTCACTTTGACCAAGTCACATATCAACGAAGTTTTCGCAGCCCAGACAGGGGAAGTGGATATGAGTACCAGAGTGGAAGATACCCAAGATCTTCCTCTATAAGCTGGAGCAGGCTGCCGCCAATCGCCTTCATGTACGCCAAAATATGAAGTCTCTCCGAGTCGCGGCCTGTCACTGGAGACACTTTGGAATTCACAATCGGTCGTCTCCAAACAGCTGCGAAAACTCCTTCTGTTTGAAGTCATCCACAGATAGCTACCTGGAGGTCAGTACTCTTGATCTGCAAGACCTCCCACATCGAGCAGCTTCCTCAACTTCGCTACGGTCTAGGACATCATCTTCACCGTGTTCGCCGAGGCGCGAGTTGATGGTATGGACCGGGTTACCTGGAAAGGGGAAGACCGGTATTTTCTTTGTAGACCCCGACTGAAGGTGAGCGCTGGCGGTTACATCAAGTAACTCGAGAAGAATATCCTCCCTACATGTGGTCGCCCGTACCTTCTTGGAGACCTTGTGCTGCTACAGGTTTGGGTGCCACCACATGGAATCAAAGGGTTTTGGAAAAACTCCCGCTTACTTCGAATGGAAGGGCGTTTCGTATCTGAAGAAGATGTAATATTGAAGTATGTCCCCTGACCTGAACCCACTCAATTACCTAGCTCGGGCGGACTTCAAGAGGGTGGTCTACGGTGGCGGAGAAATCGACTACTTCGCTGATCTCAGGTACCACATCGCGGTCGCGTGCCAGAATCTCTCGATGGCGTTCGTCCAGAAGGCTGTGGCGGAGTGTCGTGATAGTACTTAATGTGCTCTTCAATATGGTAGTAAAAATGTCCGATCAGAATTTGATAAAGTGTAATTTATAGCGCCTCGAAAGTCAATGAGGCAAAGTGACTTTTTTTTGGGCCACCCCTGTATATCAATTACTCGG